GTGGTTTTCTTGGAGACGTTTCATTACCCAACTAGGTAACATCATCAGTGCTAGAAGGGAGAGTGGGATTTGTTTATATACAATTGAATTGTGCTGTCAGCGTTGGTGAGAATATTGTTTTATTTTATAGTTGCTTGAGTAGGCAGTCGTTTATTGCTTGCTTGTTCGAGTTGGCAGCGGCAAGCCATTAGTATGTAAACAAACAGCAAAGCGCACATTCCCTTCTATCACTGGTGACGTTACCTAGTAGGGTCATGAAACGTCTTCAAGGAAAAAAAAAAACCTAAGCACAGAGAGCACCAAAGACATCAAATTCCTTCCTCCTCCACTTCCTTTTAGCCCTGATGATGTTACCTAGTTGGGTGATGAAAGGTCTGCAAGAAAACAACCAAGCTCAGAGAGCACCAAGGACCCCACAGTCGTCCTCCTTGTTCTCTTCCTTCTCTTTCTTCCCCCCCTCTGCATCCTCCTCCTCTACAAACCCCACCCCCTTCTAGCCCTGATGATGTTACCTCGCTGGGTCACAAAACGTCTGCAAAAAGGACAACCCAAACTCAGAAAATACCACGGTTCAACCCTGAGATGCGAACCCATCCGTTGGCGGATCAAGTGACATGTTTATATTTTCAAGCCGTCGTTGTAGTTTACACCTTTCCCAGGTGAGCAAAGACCATTTTTAGGGCCTGAGCTCACACTCGGCAGGTGGACAATTTGTAATTCTTCCCATTTTGGCCATCCCAGAAGTATTCCCATCTTTTTATCATTTTGTGTTTTGGGGGGGTCTACGAAGGGCTTCCTTCTGCAGCAAAAACCCCCCTTTTTGGGAGAGAAAGCTTAAAACAGGAAAAGAATGATTCAACCCAGCATCTCTTCGATATGAACCTCCCTTTCCTTCCGTCAAACCAGAGGACAAACTTGGGTACCAATATATATATATATTTTTCCCTCTTTTAAGAATGGGATTTTGGACATTTTTTAAAAAAAATTTTTCTTCCATTACCCATTCTAAGAGGATCTTGGTCGCTTCCTCCCTTGCTTCACCCTCAGCTTGTCCTATTTCAGATTATTATTTATTTTATTTATTTATTCAAATGGATCCGCCGCCCATGTTGCCACAACTCTGGGCCCGTTTGCTCAAAAGACACAATATTTTCCTAGCCAAACACAGTATTTCCAAGCAAGCTGGCAAAGGCAAGCTACATCTCTGCTTAAATGCTGTAGAAAACGTAAGTTCCTAATGGTCCTATTGGCAAACTAAATTTCTGCACGCTGACCTCCCCCCCCCCAAAAAAAATTACGTTACTGACGCTCACGACTTGCCTATCTGTAAAATGGGCGCACTGACCTACTTGCTAACACATCCGGGGTGGGAGGGTACTTTCTCCCGCTTTCCCAGCCAAAGGCTTGAGCCCCCAAAATGGATGACTTCAAACATTGGGGGGGAAAAGGGGATCCACTTTGACCCGGTCTTTTTTTTTTTCCTTTCCCCGATGCACGTCGGGGCTTGCGGTTCTGGATTCAAACCCTGCCTCGATCCAGGTTTGCGACCTCTGCCTGAGTCCCCTGAGTTCGAAGGGAGGCTTCGTCAGCTGCTGTGTTGGAGGGCAGCGTAGACTTGTTCCAAGATATGCCCAAAGCCTTGGTCTTTGGGGATCCTGGATGCTAAGGAGCCCTGAAGGGGGAAAAAAATAGAAGGTAGAAATTATATAGGAGAGGAGAGGAGAGGAGAGGAGAGAAGAGAAGAGAAGAGAAGAGAAGAGAAGAGAAATAGAAGAGAACAACAGAATAGAATTTAATAAAAGAATAGAATAGCAGAATAGAATAGAAACAACAAAATTAGAACAGGAACAGAATAGAATAGCTGGAAGGGACTTTTGAGGTCTTCTAGTCCAACCTCCTTCTCAGGCAGGAAACTACATCATTTCAGACAAACGAATGTCCAATCTCTTTAAAACCTCCAGCGTTGGAGCACCCACAACTTCTGGAGGCAAGTAGTTCCACTGGTTAATTGTCTTCACTGTAGGGAAATTTCTCCTTAATTCTAAGTTGCTTCTCTCCTTCGTTAGTTTCCACCCGTTACCTCTTGTCCTGCCTTGAGGTGCTTTGGAGAATAGCTTGACCCCCTTCTCCTTTGGGGCAGCCCCACAAATATTGGAAGGCTGCTATCACGTCTCCTCTAACCCTTAGCATTCTCCAGCCAGCCATTGTGCAACCTTTCTTGGCGCCCTCGTTAAGTGAATCGCGGAAGTTGTGACGACAGTCACACGGCCCGTTGAGTCGGCTTGTTGGAAGTTCGCCAAAGGGGATCGCGTGACTCCAGGACGCTGCAAACCATCGTTAAACAGGAGCCGGTTCCCTATGATCACCTCCCAGGATGTCAGCGGTTCCGAGCAAAGCTGCCATTTGCAATTGACCGATGGGGATTTTGTCAATGCCGATGCTGCTCCAGATGTTTCAGGATTGCACCCAAGGCACCTATTACGGACGTTGAACCGTGGTGGCACAGTGGTTAGAGGGCAGTACTGCAGGGCTGCTTCTGCTGGCAGCCGGCTGCCTGCTATTTGGCAGTTCGAATCCCACCAGGGTCAAGGTTGACTCAGCCTTCTGTCCTTTCGAGGTCAGTAAAATGAGGACCCAGATTGTTGGGGGCAACAGGCTGACTCTGTAAACCACTTAGAGAGGGCTGTAAAGCACTGTGAAGCAGTGTGTAAGTCTAAGTGCTATTGCTATCTATCATATCACTATCATATCTATATCTCTCTAACTTACTTAACTTATCTAACTTATCTATCTATCTATCATCTATCTATCTATCTATCTATCTATCTATCTATCTATCATCTATCTATCTATCTATCTATCTATCTATCTATCTATCTATCTATCTATCTATCTCATCTATGTGGTGGCACAGTGGTTAGAGTGAAGTACTGCAGGGCTGCATCTGCTAACTGCTGGCTGCCTGCAATTTGGCAGATCGAATTTCACCAGGCTCAAGGTTGACTCAGCTTTCCGTCCTTCCGAGGTGGATAAAACAAGGACCCAGATTGTTTTGGGGCAAGAGACTGACTGCAAACTGCTTAGCGAGGGCTGTAAAGCACTGTGAAGCGATATATAAGTCTAAGTGCTATTGCTATCTCTCTATCATATCTCTATCTTTCTATCATCTCTACCTGTCTATTGATCTTCTATCACATCTATATCTGTCTATCGTATCTAACTTATCTATCTATCAATATCATCTATGTGGTGGCGCAGTGGTTAGAGTGCAGTACAGCAGGCTACTTCTGCTGGTTGCCGGCTGCCTGAAATTTGGCAGTTCAAATCTCATCAAGCTCAAGCTCTCTCTCTCTCTCTCTCTCTTTCTCTCCTCTATCAATCTCTATCTATCTCTATCTCTCTATCCTCTATCTATCTCTATCTATCTATCTATCTATCTATCTATCTATCTATCTATCTATCTCTATCTATCTATCTATCTATCTATCTATCTATCTATCTATCCATCCATCTATCTCTGTCTATATCTCTATCTATCTCTATCTATCTATCTCTATCTCTATCTCTATCTATCTATCTATATCTATCTATCTATCTCTATCTATCTATATCTATATCTCTATCTCTATCTATCATCTCTCTCTCTCTCTCTCTCTCTCTCTATCCATCCATCCATCCATCCATCCATCCATCATCAATATCATTTCTCTCTATGTGGTGGCGCAGTGGTTAGAGTGCTGTATTGCAGGCCACTTCTGCTGACTATCAGCTGCCTGCAATTTGGGCAGTTCGAATCCCACCGCGCTCCAGGTTGACTCAGCCTTCCCTCCTTCCGAGGTGGGTAAAATGGGGGCCCAGATTGTTGAGGGGGCAAGAGGCTGACTCTGAAAACCGCTTAGAGAGGGCTGTAGAAGCACCGTGAAGCGGTATGTAAGTCTAAGTGCCATTGCTATCACTATTGGTCCTACCTTTGCTTTCATTTGCCAAAGTTGTTCTATTTCTATTTTCAGATTTTTCGCATGTTGTGATTTTTCTTCTTTTCTGCTCCTCAAAGTACTTTCCTAATATCTGTTTTTGTCTCTCTTATCGACAATTGTTAAATCAGGGGTGTTGTGCGACAAATCCCTCTCTTGTTTGGAGTCTAAAGTCCCAAAGCGCTTGTCATTGTAACTGCAGGTAGCCCTCGACTTAACCACGGTTCGTTTAGTGACTGTTCCAAGTTACAACGGGCACTGAAAAATGTGACTTACAACCGTTTTTCGCAGTTACGACCTTCGCAGCATCCCCATGGTCACGTGATCGAAATACAGAGACACACGGCACGACCGACTCATACTTATGATGGTTGCCGCGTCCCAAGGTCACGTGATCCCCTTTTGCGACCTTCGGGCCTGCAAAGTCAACATCGGCTTCAGCGGTTCACTTAACAACTCCGGCAAGCGAGGTCGTAAAATGAGGTGAAACCCACTTCCACAAATGTCTCACTTAACCATAGAAACTTGGGGCTCAATTGCGGTCGTAAGTCCAGGACTACCAGTATTATTTATCACATTTATTTTCCACCGTTTCCTTTATCCAGGTGAGTCTTACCTTGAGTTTGTCCAGGTAGGTCTGTTCCTGACTCCATGAGTCCTGAAACTTCACCATGTCAGGTGCCCCTTTGTAAAACTCCACCAGCAGCATCTGGAAGCAGGTTAGAAAACGAACAATGGAAGGAAAGACACAAAGGCCTGCCCTTGTTAGGTGACTTCCAGGTAATCCTCAACTTACGACCGTTCAGAGTTCCGACGGACCCCCCCCTCGCTGTTATTTAGGACCTAGTTCTGAAGTTCTTGTCAGAGCATTTGGAACGCGACTGCTATTATGAGACAACCAGGAGCAAAACCCAGCACCCAGAGAACGTCTGCAATGAATTCCGGACACAAGGAGAGAGAACGTGTCCTCTAATGGCTGCATTTTATAGAAGCACCTCTTAAAAGAGGTAGAACTTCTGTGGACCCGCTCTTAGTCTTAAAAGAGCAATACCCATGTGTTATGACTCCCCTTCGAAATTCAAACGAACAAAACAGAAAGCAGCCGTTTCACAATTAAATCAAATGGAAAGAAGTCTTACAAGATAACGGCTGGCAGAAACCACAGCATAAATCTTTACTCTGTCCGGCAAACCAGTCCTGGCAATAAATCCTCAGCCTCAGAGCTTCTTGCTGTAACGTTCTCACTCAAATAGTCATTTTGTTCCTGGCAAAATGTACCAGCCCAGCTGTGTCCTTTTATATTCATTAAGGCAACGTTCTAATTTACTGACTTGCCCTTCTCATTTGCTCCAGCTGATTTTGCCTTTTCAACCATCTTCTATTTTTTACATTTAACCACAAATTTTCCAAGTTCTCATCTCCACTAGAAGACTCTCTCAAAACTTCCCTGTCAGCCATTCCCAGCTGTTGATCAGATAAGGAACCAGAGGAGGTCAAAGGTCCTGACAATTCTAATACATCAGGTCTGTCGTCCTTTGTCACGTCCATCTCCTCATCCTGGTTATCAGTCCAGTCACTGAGTCAGGCCGGCTCATATTTTTCTGCCATGACCTCCTCACTTGAACTCATATCAATCACAGGAGCTGAATCCAAGCCCGGAGCCACAACACCCATGCTATCCTGATTCATCCTCAATTGCATCAGACTTTACAGCCACTGACTGGTATTACGGCTGGTCATTCTTAAATCTTAATAACAGTTCTCACAGCCAACGCCACCCCCCCGTGGTTATGTGATCCAATTTGGGGGCCCCTAGCAACCAGGCCACGTTTACAGACATTTGCCATGCCTGACAGTCACGTGATCACAATGTATGACTTTTCCTTTCGCTGAAAACTTAACACTGACTTCCAATTTCCAACAAAAAAAAACCCCACCCATTGGGTAAAACGGGTTCATTTAGCAACGGCTACAAAAACGGGCGTGAAATCAGGCACAGTCACAGGGTGACCCGTATAAGGACCAGCGTGACTTATGCTGGCTGGGGAATTCTGGGAGTTGAAGTCCAAAGGGGCCAAGCTTAAAGAGATAAGGCTCTAGAGTTAAATCCACTGGGGCTGGTAGTTTTTTTGTGAGATAGCATCACCACTCCCTGTAAATTTCATTTCTATGACCCCCACGCCCCCCCCAATTAGCTTTTTTACATCAGAATAGTGGTGTGCTTGGGTCACGGTGCCCCCAAACGAACGCTTTGTAAAAGAACGGAGAGAAACCAGATACCATTTCATGGAGAATGTCGTTCGTTAAAAATCCATCCTGGATGTAAGTGACTTCCACCTCCATGGGGATGCCGTAGTCATAAGGTCTTTGCTGGGGAGGGAAAAGGGAAAAGGGGAGGGAGGGAGGGAGAAAAAGAAGGAAGGAAAAGAAGAGAAAGAGAAAGAAAGAAAAAAAGAGAAAGAAATAAAAAAGAAAAAGGAAGGTAGGAAGGAGAGAGGAAGGGAAGGAAGAAAAGAAG